ATTTACTAACCTTTATCCTAAGTAAATATTCATACATTAAATAAATAAATAATTTTTATAAACATATTTATATTTAATGAGATTTTTAAATCGAGAATATTACATCTAGTGCTTGTTTTCTTAAGATTTAGTTTCCCCTGCAAGTTGGGTTTTGTTGGTTTTGTTCTATTAAGGCCTATTCACTCCCTCTAGGCCTAGCTCTCGGTCCTCCATCCGTATTCGAGTTTTGGACTCTTGAATAAGTCTTAATCATCAGTATATTATTCATGACCAACAAGCCTAAGGGTCCCTTGATTTGATGGCTCTTGCCATATTTATTAGAGTTTAAAGATGTGAGCCTCGTTTACTTTCACAAAACCTTGATAAGTGGGATGTCGTTAGAAACAGACTTCAAAGTGAAAAATGTTTTATGACTTCAAATCCAAAGTGATCATGGTAGAGAATTTGACTACTATGGTTTTGAAATTTTTGTAAAGAAAATAGTTTTGAAAATATTTTTTTAATCATTAGTACTCCGCAATAAAATGGTGTCATTAAAAGCGAACAAAAAATTTCTTCAAGAGATGGATAGACTCATGTCATACTTTTGAAAAAAACGTTGACATCATGTGATATGTGGTTATTGGTTGAAACGTAAATAAGTTTTCAAGAAATTGAAAGTTCAAACATACTAATAATCGTTGTTAATTAAAAAATAATTTCTCTTCTTTTTCTTTTTATATAAAAAAATACTTTGATAATTTCATAAGCACAACACTAGTAATATTTGTTAATTGATTTCTAATCTCTTTTGTTATATATATATATATATAACGAAAAAAAATTTAATCAAATGGTTATTGAAATTCTTTTATGTCACACCAATAATAATTTATATTCACATAAAAATCAATCTCGTTTATGTTTTTCATGCATATTTATTTATTTTTCAACCAACCAAGTTATCTAATTACATAAAGTCTTTTAAGAGAAATTCATGATTCCTTTTGTTTTTTAACAAATTTTTTCAAGAGAAATATTTTTCTTAGGATTAATGCACCTGGCTTCATCCTAAACCATGGCATTTAATGGATTCTCTAGGTTTTTCTTCTTCCTTCTCTTTTCTTTTTTTTTTCCTTGATTTTTATCTAGATATTTTCTCTTTTTTCTTCTTCTTTTTTTTTTTTTTTTTGCCAACCTAACCAGCTCTTCTTGTCTCTTTATTTTTCTAGATTATTCTTGTTGGAATTAATCTCCCAAACTCTATTAATTAGTCTCTCAAGTCATTAAAATTTTACACTTTAGTCCTTCGACTTTTAATTAGTCCAATCGACCTTGCCAATTTTAGTCCATAACCTCTCAATTTCTCACAATCTAGCCCTTGTTTTAGGCCTTTCTTAGAATAATTTTGATCTAATTATTTCAATTAAGGCCTAAATTTTTAATTATTTCAATTACACCCCTAGGTTAATACATAACCATAACAATCAATGTTATAAACCTTTAATTCATACTTTAATTAATTCATTTACCTTCCAATTAATTCATTTATTTTTCATAATAATCATGCTTGTACTAATTTATTCTTTACGCAAACGTAATTTACTAACCTTTATCCTAAGTAAATATTCATACATTAAATAAATAAATAATTTTTATAAACATATTTATATTTAATAAGATTTTTAAATCGAGAATATTACATCTAGTGCTTGTTTTCTTAAGATTTAGTTTCCCCTGCAAGTTGGGTTTTGTTGGTTTTGTTCTATCAAGGCCTATTCACTCCCTCTAGGCCTAGCTCTTGGTCCTCCATCCGTATTCGAGTTTTGGACTCTTGAATAAGTCATAATCATCCGTACATTATTCATGACCAACAAGCCTAAGGTCCCTTGATTTGATGGCTCTTGCTATCTTTATTAAAGATGTGAGCCTCGTTTACTTTCACAAAACCTTGAGAAGTGGGATGTCGTTAGAAACAGACTTCAAAGTGAAAAATGTTTTACGACTTCAAATCCAAAGTGATCATGGTAGAGACTTTGACTACTTTGGTTTTGAAATTTTTGTAAAGAAAATAGTTTTGGAAACATTTTTTTCATCATTAGTACTCCTCAATAAAATGGTGTCATACTTTTGAAGAAAAACGTTAACATCATGTGATACGTGGTTATTGGTCGAAACTTAAACGGGTTTTCAAGAAATGGAAAGTTCAAACATACTAGTAATCGTTGTTAATTACCAAATAATTTCTCTTCTTTTTCTTTTTATATAAAAAAATACTTTGATAATTTCATAAGCACAACACTAGTAATATTTGTTAATTGATTTCTAATCTCTTTTGTTATATATATATAAGGACAAAAAAAAAAACTTTAATCAAATGGTTATTGAAATTCTTTTATGTCACACCAATAATAGTTTATATTCACATTAAAATCAATCTTGTTTATGTTTTTCATGCATATTTATTTATTTTTTAATCAACAGTTATTTAATTACATAAAGTCTTTTGAGAGAAATCATGATTCCTTTTGTTTTTTAACAAATTTTTTCAAGAGAAATATTTTTCATACGACAATAAAAAAAATCCTCGAATTAATTTATAAGTCAATTAAAATTAAATTTTTTTTAAAAAATTTTAAGAATACATCTCGCATGTTATTCCGTGTGTGTATTCATATAAATTTAATAAATTTTTAGAATACCAATTCAAATTTAAAATACTAGGAGTGAAAACGTGGATAAATGTATATAAAAAAGTCATACCCGTTCACATATTTCCAACTTCAATGTTTCTAGAAAAATTAATAAAAAAGAAGGACTTAGAAGAAGAGAAAAAATGAAATGGATTGATTATGGGAAAGAGTCAGCAACTAGTTAAGGAAGAAACAAACTTCATAGTGACGTCCCGATCGCAGCCAAAACATTGGCCAAACGCGCAGAGATACCCAAGCGGGTGTGAACAGCAATATAATAACGTGATAGACATTGACCCATCTTTGTCGATTCCATGTCTACTCCCCTACGGTATGCATATCCAACAAGCAACCACTAATAAATAAAATAAACAAATAAAATTGAAAAAGAAAGAAAGAAAGAAAGAGATAATCCTAATTTCACCCCTATTTTTTTTTATCAGTTAATAACGATTCCCATTCTTTTTTAGTTTTATAAATCACAACTTATTGACCGATTGCCATTCTTTTGCAACGAAAAAAATAAAAAAATAAAAAAAATAAAGAATAAGAAACTGAACAAAAGATTTGGTAAATCCTTCAAAATCACAACTATAAATAAAATGAGAAATGAAAGCTAATATGGTAAATAAACAACTAAAAAAAGACAACTATTTCGATTTAAAAAAAAAATCAGATTAGAGCTTTTTGAAGTTAGAGATGATCAAGAAGTTAATTTACTAATGTATGAAATCGAATTATTGAATTACTTGATTTAGCCTGCATTTTTCAATCTAAAAAGATTAACTAAAAATAAAAGATAACTAGTAAATTGAATTTTTAATATATATATATATATATATATATATATATATATATATATATATATATAAGGGGTAATTTTAAATTATCTCAATTTAGTTCTAAACCTATATATTTATTAAACCTATAAATTTTATCTTTAAGTTCCAAACGTTCTAAAAAAATTCTCAATCAAATTTTTTTTGTTAATTTTTATAAAATTTTCTTTAAATCGACATCATTTTAGTATAAAATTAGTGCATAAATATGCATATTAGATAAAAAAAATTAGTATTTATTAATTTTTTCATTGATTTTTTTTTAAATCGACATCATTTTAGTATAAAAAAAAAAATTAGACTTGAACTACTTAAGGAAATGGACAAAAAGACATAGTTGAGAAAGGTTGGAAACAATTGAGATTTAATTGATAATATTTATAGGTTTCTAATGTAATTGAAAATGAATATATTTAAGTCTGGGATTAAATTGAGATTTTTGGAAAAGGAAAACAGAAAGAGACAAAAACATTTTGATCAGTAAAAGAGAAAACTGCATCCACCCAAATTCCCATCTGGAGCGAAACTTCCATGTCATGTGCTTCCCATTCCTTCAAATAAGAAAAATGAAATGAGAATCTATCAATCAAAAAAAGAAGAAAAGAAAGAAAAAGGAAAAGGCTTTTTCCCTTTCAAAAAGTTTAAAGAAAAGAGTATCTTTCTGCATATATTCAGATCCATCCAACGTTGAACCATCCAACTTCTCCTATCGATTTATAACCCACAAAAAATAAGTGCATAACTAGAGTGTTATCGAGGTAAGTAACTGTTAAGAAAACCATTTATGTTATTTTAAATAAACAAGTTGCAATGATGACTATACATTTTTTTGCTGCTTCTATTTCAATCAGATCTTGATTCATCAATGTAATGTACTGATTTTTAAGATTCTTGTGGACTTTATTATTGTTATTATTATTGTGTAATAATTTTCTTGCAATTTGGTTTATTATAGTAGATTAATGTTTTTGGCGTGTTTTGATTCATTCTTGGAAGCAAATTGGTATTAATTCCTTAACCTGAAAGTGATAATATCATGTTTTTCTTCCATCTTGTTGTTGTTCCTGTTGTGTCCCTCTTTTGGTCTAAGGCGGTGGAGATTGCAGTTACGTGGAAGAGTCTTTCTTTCTTGTACAGCCGTCTGTTGTATTTGTGAAGTCATTTTTTTTGGCTATTACTTGCTTTTATAGCTGAAGAAGCAAAATTTGGAACTTTCTTGGTCGTTTCTTTTATGACTGAGTCCACTTTATCTGCTTTTCCAGAATTGAGAATTCTCATTTTTTTAGGAGAGAGTATATAAGGGTTTTGGGTTTCAGTTCTTTCTTTGGGTCTGTATTTGTGTTTCCGAAGTGGGTTTTGAATAAAGAATTGAAGTCTGAGAGTTGGATTTCTTTTGGTTCATTTTGGTGGGTTGGTTATTAATAATTTCTGGAATAGAGAAGGAGGTTTTCTTGATTATTTGGGTTTTTGTTATAGATAAATTAAGTTGATGGGAGGCAAAAGCTCAAGGGAAGCCAATTGGAGTTCGAATCCATCTTCATGGGATGCCTATCGACAACCATCTTATGGTCAAGAAAGTTATAATTATGCACCACCACAGCAATCTTATGGATCACAGCAATCTTATGGGTCGCAGCAGCATTATTCTTCCTCTCAAGATTATGGGGGTGGCGGGGACAGAAGAAGGCTCGACAGGAAGTATTCAAGAATTGCAGATGATTACAAATCATTAGATCAGGTAATTTAATATGCTGTTTTTTTTATGCTGATTTTGGTTTTGAGTCAGATGTAATAAGCAGCATTAAGAAGGATTATTCTTCCTCTCAAGATTACTAGGTTTTTGATATCATTTCAAATCAATATCTGTTTGTCTTCATCAGATGTAACTGCTCATTATTTGACATCCCTTTTCTACCTATCGTCATGCATTTCCCATGAAAAATGCTTTGATCTTTTTTCCACTTTTTAGAAAATTTGAAGTAAAATGAACCCTTATTTTGCTTGCAGGTGACTGAGGCTCTTGCACGTGCTGGTCTTGAATCTTCCAATCTCATTGTTGGTATTGATTTCACAAAGAGCAACGAGTGGACAGGTTAAGCTTTATTATTTTTGCTTAAAATTTGTGTTGTGTGACCTGTTGCAGAACAAGCCTCTAAATGTGATTTGATGATAGGTGCCAGGTCATTTAATAGACGAAGCTTGCATGATATTGGAGATGGTTTGAATCCATATGAACAAGCAATATCCATTATTGGGAAAACGTTGGCTGCATTTGATGAGGATAACTTGATTCCCTGTTTTGGATTTGGGGATGGTATGTATGGGTAAATTGCTTGGTTATGAGAATTCAATAGATGAAAGATTGTGTAGTTATTAGCATTCACTCGATGCAACTGCCAATAACAACCACTCTTCTCTGGCAGCATCAACACATGATCAGGATGTCTTCAGTTTCTATCCAGATGAGAGGTTCTGCAATGGATTTGAGGAAGTCTTGAGTCGGTATAGGGAAATCGTGCCCAATCTACGACTTGCAGGTTTAAATCTTGTTATTTTAGACTCTTGTTTTTCACCTCAAAGTATTTCTTGAACTTTAGAATTGGATTTTATAGTTTATGCTTATTATTTTATTGCAGGACCTACATCATTTGCACCAGTCATTGAAATGGCGATGACCATTGTTGAGCAGAGTGGTGGCCAGTACCATGTACTATTGATAATTGCAGATGGACAGGTATGTTACCTCTACTGTAGTTATCATCTCATTTCAGAGACAAATAAAGGGCAGACATGCTCTGCTTTTGTGACTAAAACATGTGCAATTGAGAGATGGAAAATTGGACTATCAACAATGTGTGTATGCAAGAGATTATAGAATGCAGACAACCTGTTGTCGTTCTACCTGCGATCATTTCTTCTATGTGAATGGTGGTTTGGTTAATGATGGCTAGGAAAGTTTTCATTTCTACTAGCCACTAGATGTATCTCCCAAGGCTTTACAGTGTTACTGTTGACGGTTGTCTCAGGTTACTAGAAGTGTTGATACTGAACACGGCCAGCTGAGCCCACAGGAACAGAAGACTGTCGATGCCATTGTACGAGCAAGGTAAAATCTCGGCAACTTGTTTTCGGTTGGAAGTGTTATCCTTTCCAGGTTGTTTCCTAATCATAGACCTGTTTCCTTGCAGCAAGCTCCCCTTATCCATTATATTAGTTGGGGTGGGAGATGGGCCCTGGGACATGATGAGGGAGTTCGATGATAACATTCCTGCTCGAGACTTTGATAATTTCCAGGCAAGTATTTGGGGTGTTACTTGATTTCCATCTCAATTACTCCAATTTTGTTTTTAGAAACAGTGGTTTTTGATACATGCTTCTTTCAATGGTCGTTTCTCTCCAGTTTGTGAATTTCACAGAAATTATGTCAAAGAAAGTGGACACATTGCGAAAGGAGACAGAATTTGCGCTTTCTGCTCTGATGGAAATTCCTTCTCAGTATAAGGCAACTATAGAGCTTAATATATTGGGGTAGTGCACACTTGTTCCTTTGGACAAGTTTTGAAGTTTTCATTCTTTGTTTTTATTTATATTTTATTTGAAGCGAGGGATCTATTTTATTGTCATTCTGATTGTCAAACTATCTTTTATTGAGCAGTCATAGCAAGGGAATTGTTTCTGAGAGAGTTGCCCTGCCTCCACCTATGTATGGTGCAGCGTCTTTCAGCAGGTCCAAGCCTTCTCATTCTGCCAGTTTTAAGCCAAGTGTTCCATCTTATCAAAGAGACAGCCAACCTGTCAGCTCAGCTCCACCTGCTACGAGTTCCACTTATGATAATCAGGCAAGTTGCTTTTAATGTTAGGAATGCTTTGTGACCAAATGATGTGAAGTTTTCTTTAGGGTTTTGTTCACTAGTTAAACTGTTCCTTGCATCTAGAACCAGTCAGTTGTATTTTGATTATGGTTTTAAGTTTCACTGAAGTATGTTGTATTATGTACTGTACTATTGTGCTTTCATACCATTCCCATTTGGTGCCACACAAGAGTGTCTCTGGTCGCAGCAGCCCTTATTATTTATGATTGAACTTCATTTAGAAGCTTATTTGTCTTCAAGTTATATCCTGCCTTTTCCATGTACTTTCCCGTAGTATACTGGTTAACCCATGCCATAGGCAGGTGACTTTATCTGCTGGTTTGAATGCAAAACTAACTTTGTCGTTATTGTACAGCTTTGCCCTATTTGCCTTACTAATCCAAAGGACATGGCCTTCGGTTGTGGGCATCAGGTAGATATATAATCTTCATCATTTTTTCTCAATTCTCACATTTTTGGAGATCTGTTAACAGAAAGAGATTGATGCATGTTTTTCTTTTATCCATCAGACATGTTGCGAATGTGGAGAAAGCCTCGATTTATGTCCAATCTGTCGAAGTTCGATCCATACGAGAATAAAGCTCTACTAAGTAGTAGCATTGTGCCTTAGCGTGTCTTATTCATTTTTTTAATTTTGTTTTTTATTCGTTATTTAAATCTTGCAAATGTTGGGTCAGCTGTTTTCAGATTCAGATACATGCCTTGCGTCCAAGAAAATGAAACAGTTGTCCGTTTGTACATTCCTCTAATTTGATTGCTTCTTTGTAGCTTATAATTCCTTTATGAATGATATTTCAAAATCTATGTTTGGGATTCAACCATACCTGTCGCAGAGGATGTGTAAGGGGCAACGAAATTCGAATGTGATCAAGATTGATAGTTGCCAGCTTGCTATAGACATGGCTACTGTCTGTCTATCGGTGTGATTTTAGTTGTGAAGATGAGGATATGTATAAATCAGGTATGGTTGTTTGATTGCCCTAAGAGAGTAGGTCATTCTTTATGACATCAAATCATGTGTCTTCATCAATTTCCTTATGGTAAAATAAATAGAATCAAGACATTTTGAGAAAAAATTATCCTTCAGAACATATTTTTCAAAATACTTTCTATTCAAATCTTTTTCATTTACTTGAAATGGATTTATCATTTGACCAATTACCTTCAAGCATATCAAAAGCCAGCTTTTCTACGAGCTTTGTATAATCTAAACAAGCGTTTGAACATAAGTAGTGATAGTGTTGAGAGAATGATAAATGTTTGATCTCAACAAGCACTTGGTGGTATCTCATGGATTGATTTGAATGGTAATCTATAAAATTGAAAACATTGGGAGTGAAGGAATAGAGGCGTAAACATTAAGCTTTTGAGTATAAATCAAAGTAGTTCAAGCCATCAAGTTAGGAGGAAAAGAGTATTCCTAAAAGAGGTGTAATTTTAGTTGGTGGGATCTATCAGTTGCTATAGACAAAGCATGGCATGTCAAAACTATAGGCATTTAGAATTAGCCTGTGAACCTTGATCAAAATATCAAAACTATAGGCAATCAGGAAATCGAATTGCTATTTTTATTAAAATCCAATGGCTGGCTCAGAAGCACACTCCTCCTCGTGATGTTCCAACAACCTAAACGTTGTTTGATGGTTTTGAAGCCCATTTGGATTGTCTGTCACGAGACGGGAGGAAATGTCTCATCAACCTTCGTTCCCAACTCCCAAGTATTATAGTATAGTGTCATGCGTTTAACGGCGTACTTGTAATGATGAAAGACAGTGAGATTGAACTTGGGCCAACAATATGTTAACATTTTCAAACGAGGTCAAATGGGCACATTAAGCAATTGAGATCATAGTTTTAAACCGTAGTTATAATTTATAGTGAAATAATAATGATTTCAATTAATATCGTAAATATATTAATAATTGTTAAGAAAGTTATTTTAATTCACATGGTTTTAATAATTTTATTAACTAAACATACTAAAAAATAATAACATATTTAATAGTTTAATATCAAATAAAAATAGTTGAATTTATTACAAAAGAAAAAGTTAATAACACTAATAGTATATCAATATCACATAAAAAAAATTAATTATTTAATCTTTTAATTAGTGATGAACATGTTTATTTTCATTATTTTATTCTATAAAATTTTTTTCTCATCAAATTTTTAAGATATAAATTGATTTTTTTCTTTTTTTTTATTTTTAAAAATAAAAAAGAAAACAAATTATAAATAACATAAAATAGATAAAAATAACTAAATAATTAGTTTTTCAAACAATAAAAACTAACTAATTTATTTTTTCAAACTAAAAAGACTAATTTATAATTTACTCAATTAAAACCCGCATGCCAGCATGTCTTTCAATTTCGTACACGCAATCCAGTGTACAGTTGCTCTTTTTCTCAGCTAATCGTGTCTCTCTCTCTCTCTGCTTCACGTCCAACTCATCTAATCATCTATCTCTCTCTACTTCGTATCCTCCTTTCTTCATCTCTCTAGCTTGTCTACTCCTCTTCTTTTTTTTTTTTTCGTCTCTCTATTCTCAACTAGGTTTCCTATAAGTTTCATTTGTTCTTTTTTCTTATTTTATTTTCACATTTTTTGCATTGGTGGTTAATTAGGGCATAATTTTAATTTTTTTTAATCAATAATGTCATTATATAACAACAAATAATAAAATTATGTAACGTTGTTATTTATCGTTATACGAGTGAAACGATGTAAACACACTTATAACATCGAATAAAAATAACTAAATGCTTTATTATTATTATATAACGACTCGTTACATTACATCATAATTATTATTTAAAACTATGCTTGAGAGACTTATAATTCATAAAGAAATTTGATATCAAGTGCGGTGAAAAATCATATACGCTAATAATCTAATAATGTATAGTAGATAAAGATAAATACTATTTAGTTTAAATTGAATTACATCAAAATATCACTTTTGATTTAGTTTTTAATTAAAAAAAAAGCTGAACATATATATTTTTTTCTAGTTCGGTTCAGTTTTTAAAATTTTTAATTATGTTTAAATTGAAAATTAAATTTTTAAGTTTTAAGATAATACAAATAAATAAATAAATAAACACTTTAATATTATTATAGATATATGATGAATTGATGTTGTTTTTAGTCTATTTATATTTTTTTAAAATTCAAAAATAAATAATTTTTTTTGATTGAAATTGAAAAAATCGAAATCCAACCGAAAACCAAAATTTAGATTTTTTAAATTGAAAAAAAAATACAAAATGGTAATTTGGTTGAGATCTGATTTTTGTTTTTGTAGTTCAAAAAACCGAATAATCATTAGAATGGATGGATTTATGAGCTGTGAAGTAAGGAACTTGGGTACGTACGCTACGAACAAAAAGGCAAACAATAAAGCATGGCACCATTCAATGGCCAGCAGCTTCAGCTTTTGCATTTAATGCGTTCAACTGCTTCTTGAAACCAACCTCCAATTTGTTGGATTAGAAAACCAACAAAACGAGTGCTTTAAAATTCCCAATAATTGAATCGAAAACAACTTGCCATCTTAGTTCACAATTCACAAAACTATATCAGGGCAATCTATTGATATCCTTCCACAAAAAACCACCATGTCTGCCATTGAGATGGCCACAGCCACCAAGTTTCCTTACCACAAACTGAAAAATGAAGGTTTCTTGGATGACTATGAAGAAAGGCAGAGATTCAGTATTGTCAAATCAAGAAACTGGTACAAGTTCAGGAGGGTGCATATAAGAAAGAGATTTAGGCTTAAGGTTCCAAGCTTGAGGATATTCTTGAGGAGGAAAGTTAAACTTGTCTCTGCTGTTAGACTCTCATGTGCTAAAGTGCTGAAGAGATTGAAGGAAGGTCAGGCTCATTTTGGTGATCTTTTTGCAGGGAACTATCTGTTCATGCAGGTCAATCCTACTCCTTTGAAGTACTTTGAGAAATCTTATTATAATACCTCTGGCCTTGACCTTAATAGCTTTCCTCCGGGCTATTCTCTTCCTCGTTGAGCCCGGGCCTTAGCTTCTGCAATCCATTGTACTTGTAATTTTCTTCACCAAAGAGCATGTCTTCTCTTATCAAAGGCTAGGGTTTAGCCCCTAGTGGGTGTTTGGCATTCTGGTGGTAATGTTAGAAAAGCTTTAAAGCCACTTCAATGCCAAAAACCCCACTGGTTGTTGAGTACATGTTTATGGAACTTTTTGGCATTAAGTTAGATCATGCATAAATTAAGCACAAGCATAACTGGTACTTACCGGAATTAAGATATTAATTATCAAGAACATGATCATGTAATCTGAATTATTTCTTAATTGATGTATCACTTATGATTATACAATTAACTTGCAATTTTACACAATTTTATCCAAGATTTATAAGTAACTTGCAATTTCTCTCAATTCTGCAATATTGAATATCGTTACGCATCAATCAATCGAAATTTATTTATTTATTTTTGGAAAGATGTTTTTAACCACAAACCAAATATATGAAATTAGGTTTTGAACACTATGATAAATGCATATGAATCACGACGTAATGTAATTAATGTTGCGGTGTCTTATATGCTTACTGGACTTACAGGATCTTCAGTGTATTTCATAGATTAATCGATATGCGTGCAAGTTGATTTGGACATCTTGGATTACCATAAAAAAAATATAATAATAATAATAATAATAATAATAATGAATTATGGACAGTTGGGAGATGAGAGTTACAAGGCACCTTCTGCTGATGAACTGCTGAATTATGGTTCTTATGTCGGACGTATTTATTGTCTTGATGACATGTTTATACTATTGCTTCTCGAATCTGCTAAACTATATAATGATAAAAATTATTAATTGTTCAAACATATTATAAATTAAATTATTATATATATTAAAAAATTGAATAAAAAATGAATATTAATTTATTTTCGATTTTTTAATAACTAAGTTTAATTAATCAAATTGAATTGGTATTTTAATTTGGATTCGATTTGGTTAATCGATTTTAATTAAATGCTGTTTACCTTTAGTTTGAACCTCGCCAGCTCAAGATGGGACCGGGCTCCAGCCTTAGAAGTTAGAATAAGAAACGGAAAAGTCATGCTCAAAATTGGGTGATTCAATGGTATCCAGGACCAGTGAAGATTTGAATCCATTAGACTGAAATAGAGAATTATTCACCATTAGATTAAAAAGTTATTCAATTATTGGTAATTTGCTAAACCAGCATTAGATTACAAACCCATCTTTCAGGCCCATTTGTTTCGTTTCTCCTTGATTTTTTCCATGGTTGTTAGTTATTTTGCAATATTTTGAATGGTTTTCTTGCTAGGACTATAATCCTCAAATCTGTGGTTTTCATTTGCACAGTTTGTGCCGAATTGGGAGGAAAGTTACATGGATGAGTTGTGAGTTGCTATCCGGGTCAAAATAACCCGTTTTCGGCTGATGAAAACCCGCAAGAGGTTGAAGATGTTAAAAATTGATTTCAGTCCCCTTTCCCATACATTGTACCATTTAGCCCTTATTTTTGGGCTAAACTGTAAAACATAACCAGAACTAGTCATGTGAATTGTGTGCGAATGCCTTCTGTTTATTGTTTTCTATCTTCCATGGACATTTTAAAATTAAAAATAATCATATACAAGTGATGTAACTAATTATGATGATTTAACTTGATACTTTAACTAAAATAATAAATTAAAAACTTAATGCATATTTAAGGATAAAAGTAATTTAATTAAAAATATGAGGATAAATAAGAATTAGTTTCTTATATTATGATCAATTCAACCAAGAACCCATTTATTTTATTTTATTTATTTGCTTGTAAGACAATTATATCAATGACCAAATTATGGTGAATTCTCACACTCTAATATTTATTTAGATCATACTAATTGGTTGTCCGCACTATGATACGGTTAGGCGAGAACAAAATCATTTCAATTTTTTTATTTTTTAATCAAAATCTTGTATTTAATAAATTTTTTCTTATGTTTTGTGTAAATTTTTTACTTAAAAAAGCATGATTCATTTTTCTTTATGTATTGATACATAAATAAAAACTTATAATAATTTAAATTGAAATATTAATTCAAAATTAAAAAAACTTTAAAAATATATTTTCTCGTAAAATTGTATCCAAAAAATAAAGGTGAAATCAATGTATAGAAATATATAAAAATTAAAAAATTAAAAAATAATTTTTTTGTTCTCATCTAATACGATGAGAAGATTATTTTTGAAAATATATACTGAATTATATATATTTATTTACAAAATAATCAATAATATTAGTATAAAAAACTATATTTGAATCGTTTGATGATTCTTTTTAAAAATTATTTCAATTATTTTATTTCAAAGAAATTTTTTTATAATACTAAAAAATAAATAGTAAATAGTTGGTGTTATGTATGTAGATGCATAGTTAATTTTCAATAAAATTGATGCTTTAATATATATATATATATATATATAAATCAAGACTATACTTAGTTGGTGTTGAGTGTGCGGTACAAAGAGAAAAATATTAAAAAAAAAAAATTCAAGCAAATTTTATGAAATATATCACATATATTTCATCATTGCTAGATTACATGAGAAAAAAAAAAAGATCTTCCATAATTTTTCCCATAAATTCAAAACCAAAAAAAAAAAAAAAAAAGGAATAAAAACCCAAAAAAAAAAAAAATTGCTAGAGAGGAGAACTACGTGCGCCATTGGGCTTGCTTCCAAGCTCGACCAAGCCAAAACTCCCTTCAAAGAAAAAAAGAAGAAGAAAGAAACTAGACAAAACGTCATCTCGCTATCCGGGTAGCATACGATGAGTCATCTACTTGTAAGTTTCAACAAACTATAATTCATTAGAAATGTCGTCGAAAAAATGTGTTTAATTTTGAGCACTGTCTAGACCCAATTTCAATCTCATTTTTGTTCAAAAACACCTAAAAATTACAAAAATAACATCAATAAACTCATTTAAAATCTCAAAACTCATTTAATACACACAATATATTAAAATACAAATCAAAATAAAAAATCCAAAATATTTTTGGATTTTAATCTACATTCTTTGGCTATTTTATGATTTGTGACTACCACAAACGAATTCTACTTTTTAAGACAAACAAATTGCAAGTGATTTTAACGATCGAGGTAGCTAGAATGGACACCATTCTCTCTCTCTCTCTCTCTCTCTCTCTCTCTCTCTCTCTCTCTCTCTCTCTCTCCTCTCTAAAATAAAATCGAGTATAGGTTAGCTTATGAATTTTATAGATTCTAGGGCTAATGGTTTGCTCTACAACCACTTAATATATATTTTGGATCTAATTGCAAGGGTTGTTATACCGGCTATTATCCTAGCCTAGGGTCATTGGGTGGCGGTCTCTACTTTTATCTACTGTTTGCACCCATGGCTCTTTCATTTGGAGGTTTGTAGATATGGTTCCTCTCATCCGAGGATTCATGAGGGTGATAGGTTCTTGTCGAGTTGTAGGCCTAGATTCTTTTTCATATTGGGTTTCACCAAAGGTGATAAGTTTCTACTAAGCTAGTCGATGATGCTACCTAGTTTCAAAAGAGGACTCTCTCTTGCTTTATAGCCACCAACGTCCTTGTAGGAATCAATATAAGCCCTCCTAAGTGGGATGGCTGCGGAAGATCAAGGTTGGTCGGCAATTTTGGATATTTTCTCTTCTAATTGGTTTCTTACTTCCAAAGCCACTTGTTTGGATGTAACTATTTTAGATATAACATGATTAAAATCACTAATAACATCCTTAGACTCCCTTTTGAATTTGGATTCAACATCTTTATTGACATCCATGAAGGTTTGATTGAAACCTAAATGAGCTTTTTTTTTTTTTTTTTTTTTTTTTTTTTTTTTTTTTAAGGTTTAAAAAGCATTAACTCATGCTTGATTTCGAGACTGTTTTATGTCTTTCTTAGGCATTGGACTCTACCGCAGTATGAGTTGTCCTATCATGGGTAGTCATTAATTCCTTATATTGATTTTGTATGCGTTATATTTTCGCCTATGTTGTTCATCCAATTATTGAATAAAGACCTTATGTTTGATATTTAATTCTTTCATGGCCTCTTCGAATCCTTCTTCCAATAAGATGTCTTTCTTCCAATGTCATCGTGTCGGGTTCATTTTGTGGCTCATTGGACGTAGTTGAACCCAAGCTGTCTTCTCGTGCAATGGTTGTCGCATCGGAGGGTGAGTTTCCTCACCTTCGACCCATGTAGATGGAACTCGTAATTAATTTTCTTAGTGCCATCTAGAATAGCACTTTCATTGTAGTCGTTAGAATTGTTATCGATTCTTTTGTGTGGTCTTAATTAAGAAGACTTTGAAATAAAAGGTTTGTATGATGGTTGAAAAACAATCTGCAAGGTACTCTATCTTCCTTCTAGACTCTAAATTAAATAACTAAAATTGTTACACACACACACACACACACACACACACACACACACACACACACACACACGTATATATATATTAATGAAAACAATATCTCAAAATATAAACCAGCTTCTATTTCTTACAATAAGGTATTATAGATTGCAAACTAAATCAAACTGGAATTGATAGATATTGCATTACGAGTTCGTATAAATAATAATAACACTAGAAATGCAAAAACTTATAGACGTGGGAACTAATGAGCAAGTATTAAAACAATATCTCCAAGTAAATATTAATTAATAAAAACGAGTATCTCAAAACATAAATCAACTTCTATTTCTCACAATAAGGAATTATAGATTGCAAACCGAATGAAACCGAAATTGATAGATATTGCATTTAAGGTTCTTACAAATAACAATAACACTAAAAATGCAAAGACTTACGGATGCAAGAATTGATGAACAAGTATTAAAACGAGTATCTCCTAGTAACTATTAATGAAAACGAGTATCTCAAAACATAAGCCAACTTCTATTTCTCATAATAAAGAATTATAGATCGCATAACTGAATGAAGCTATCATTGATAGATATTGCATTAAAGGTTCGTATAAATAATAATAACACTTGAAATGCAAAAACTTACGGACACAAGAACTAATGAACAAGCACCAATTAAAAATTCAAACATTGAAAGATGAATATGCATGCTTTGTAACAAAAGTGACAATCGAATAATAGATAACCCTTCCATATGTTTATATTTTCCTTACTAGCCAAGTTCTTGAGTTTAACTTTCTTCCTTGGACTGCAATGCTCTATGTTTGTCTTGAGTTGCAATACTCTACATTCTCTATTATTCCCACTCATTCATTGCAACATAATCACGTCTCCTTATTTTTTATTTCGAGTTGTTCAATTCTGTTACTTTTGTTAATCTTTTCTTGTGAATAGGACTTTCTCACATCTTTAGTCTATAATGTAATTCTGTTTAATAATTGTATCAAATCTTTTAAGTGTAAAACTCTTTTGGGCTTTGTCTTAAAATGGGATTGCCTGGTCTTTATTTTGTGGATTTAACTTTGAAAGGCACTAATGACTTTTAAAGATTTATTAATGCAAGCTTTATGACTAAAGCTTAATTGGGCTTTCAATAATTTGATTGGGTTTGTTGGGCTGCTAGACCCAATCAAATTTGAGTGTAACAACTATCAAGAAAGGTTAGGCCATAGAAAATTTGTGATGAGCAAGTTTTTTATTTAAGAAAACATTCATAGAGTAATATAAAACCGCTACAAGGATGGAAAGAGTGGGTTTTTTTTTCCTTAGAAACAATATAAAACTAGATAGATTACATATATTTTTTTTATATAAAACATTATATACACCATACACCTCTTTTTTATATAGAGATACGGTGGTTTTTTTTTTTACAATTATTGGTTTTGACAAAATTTAACCTCGTAGGACGATTAATGGATAGATGATAATTACAATAATAAAATCAACTGGTTAATGGACAAATATCCTCAGACCAGACTAGTTGGACATATGCCCACCTCTAATTAATATCCCTGCCAAAGTGGGCATACTTTTTGTGATCCTCAATACGCATACAAAAGTAAAACTACGACACATCTCTAAACCATGTTCCATTTTTTTTTTTACATAACCAAAAGTAAAAGTTTTTCTTTTCTTTTTTTGACATTATAAATATTGTTTTATCCTGATCTAAACTTTGCACTTGTGAGACACGAAGACAGAACAAGCATTGTCCCTGGAAAGCCTGGTCGGTAGAAGCTGCAACCTCCAACGTGCAATCAGATAAAAGTCTCATCTCTTCTGTTCTATTCCGCTTCTGCTTTCTTGCCAACCCATTTCCTCTCTTAAAAATACAAATAGTAGTAGAAGAAATCGGTGATACGCGAGTGATTAGCTATATAGAAACAGAAGCAGCAAATTTTACACTACTATATGGTCCATACAGGATCTGTTTCTTGCGAAAATAAGGGTAAAAAATCTAGGGATACGAGCGAGTGCCATGTGAATTATAGGTGTCGAGGGATGGGGGAGAGCCAAACTTTTTCGACAATCATTCCTTGTGTGATCATGGCCTTTTGGCATTAAAAGTCCTCTATGTTCAAGTATCTTTTGGTCGTTTCTCTCACAGTACTCTCACTGCTACCTATGATCAGTACTATATATACTACCTCCTGGTTCAGCAGTTTTAGTTAGTTTGAAGACATCGAAGAAGTAATTGAATCATCGGCTCCACTACTGGGTTTGAGGTTCGTTTACTTGTATCTTTACTCGCAAATTAATGATCTTCTGTTCGAGAGTTGTCAGTGCTTCTACTACTTGTATGCCAGTATTCTTTGCTGCAGCTAGATAACTAGCGATATATTTTCGTCAGAAAAAGTTAATACTCCTCAACTCTTGTTTTTTTCCTTTTTTCTTTTTTACTTGCATGTTGGGATATGTCCTTGTTTTGGTTTGATCAATTCAAAATCCAAACTTTTTTTTCCCTAAATTTGTTCGCTATGATCCAATTTTCTCTGCAACCAATGACCGACATGGTCAGTGACTCCTGATTTACCAGCGGGTTTAGTTCAGTGCATGCTGTGTTTGCCTTGTGATTTTTGTTTTTTTATAAGAATATGGTAATCAGTAACATTGTGTGGCTGTAAGTTTCTAAACTCAGTTTGCAGAAACTGAAACTTTTGTTTTTGTCATGGATATACTACTACTGCTACGCACCACTCACTCTCACGGGGCCAGTAAACGAAAACAACTGTTGGAGACAGACATACAGCTTTAATTACCAAACTAACCGAACATTTATTTTGGTTTTTCGGACACCAAACTCAATTTAATTTATGTTTCTAAGCAGAAATTCCATGTATTTACATTAAGTTGATTTTTACGCGTGTCTCACTTTGTCTTGTTGTTGACACTAAAAAGACCACGAAGGGGGCTCCTTTATAGTGACTGGACTGCAGCTAGCTGACAGAAGTTAAAGCGACAGAAGTAGAGAGAAATGTATGACCCATCCCCAAATGACTTTCTACATTTGTTCCTCACCTCATGTTCAGATTTTAGATTTTTGGATTGTTTTTTGGGTTGCAAAATATCGCACCCCATGTCGTCCTCAGTCCAGTTCATTTCACGTGGAGTCCTACTTTGCATTTACCTCCATCCTACACATCTTTCTGTCTTTTTTTATAATGCTGAAAATGAATGAAACATAAGGATCTATCTTCCCTTTTACAAGTGTTAATTTGTTTCATGATGCAGATCAATATCATCATAAAATGGAACCAACGGACAACAAGTCGTCCAAGCAATCTTCACTTCCAAGAGACTCTCGTGGATCACTTGAAGTATTCAACCCCGGCTCCAGTGCCTTCTCCACTACCCGATCCACTAACCCAGCTTTTCGTTCATTAAACCCCACCTGGAAAAGCTGGGTTGATGCACGTGCCACCAATGAACTCGACCAGCCCAAGCAGCCGGGTGAACCCGAAGAAGCACCAATCACCACCTCATGGATGGCCCTCAAGGACCCTGTTCCTGTCCCAACCCTGCCATCCCCACAGCAATATTCCCAGCAAGACGATAAAAAAACAAAACAACAACTGTCGGGTGAAATTGGGGTGGCAGCAAAAAGAGCGGCTGAGTGGGGTCTGGTGCTAAAAACAGACACCGAGACAGGCAAACCACAAGGGGTTAGTGTAAGAAATTCGGGTGGGGACGAACCAAATACTAAACCGGGTACTTCAAGAAGGAACTCGAATAACTCAGTAAGAAATTCTGGTGACTTATCTGATGATGGAGGAAGTACTAATATTCCAAGAGTATCTGAAGACGTAAAAAATGCACTGTGCACATTCCAACAGACATTCGTGGTATCAGATGCCACAAAACCAGATTTTCCAATCCTGTATGCAAGTGCTGGATTCTTTAAAATGACTGGATATACCTCCAAGGAGGTCATTGGCAGGAATTGGTAAATGTGTGTGTGTGTATATATATATATATATATATTAAGTATTATTTTCTTTTTTTTAAAAAAGATTTAATGCTAATGCATGTGTATGGCTGGGTGGGTTGGACCAGTCGGTTTTTACAGGGTGCAGGTACGGACTCAGAAGATGTAGCCAAAATCAGGGAGGCTTTAAAAGGAGGTGGCAGTTATTGTGGGAGATTGTTGAATTACAAGAAAGATGGAACTCCCTTTTGGAACCTTCTTACCATTTCACCCATCAAGGATGATTCTGGCAAAGTCATCAAATTCATTGGGTAATTATTATTATTATTATTATTATTATTTTGGTAAAAGTATCCTTTCTTTTAATACACACATAGTGGCTATAAGAGGTAATTCAATGGTAAAACTTCATGATATATGGATTATGAGGACTATATGCTCTGAAATTTAGGATCAGGAATAGACCTAAAAAAAATGTGATGAGACGTGCATCTATGGCCTATACACACAACATGATATGTGATGAGACGAAAAAGAAGTCGAAATGTTCTGTGCACTGTCCCATCCCATATGAATGAATAGGATGCCCAACTCAATAATTCAAACTTTTATAGTGCCAACTGGGTTTTATTTAATTATACCCACATCCTTAATTCTCACTTGCTACTGAGATTCAACCCTTGACAGTGATGAACTAAGGATGAGAAATTTTATAATACTGAAAATATAATTAATAATGTATATAATTATTACTTTATGTATTTATTTAGATAAAAAAGATAAAAAAAGAGAGTATAATACTCAAGATATAATTAGTGATATATATAGTTATTACTTTATGTATTTATTTAGAGAAAAAAGACAAAAAAAAAAAAAAAGAGAAACAAGAAAGAGAAAATTAAAAACAAAATTGAATGAATATGAAAATTTTTTATCACTTTTGATGAATTCGGATATAATTTTATGTGTCTATCTCTTTTCTCTAAGTAAATTCAAAAAATAACTACTGTATATGTCATTCAAAAAATAACTACTGTATATGTCATTAGTTATTTTTATGGATGCTGTGACAGGAGGAACGTGACCTGTAAAAGAAAATAAAAAGGGAGAGTAGAATTATTTTTGAGGATTTGGAGGAATATGTCTCAATTAATTATTATGGGAGATGTGTGTATCAAAAATTGTTCTATCTCTTGCTAGTTTACACGTTCTTCTGTCTGCTAATTTGGCAGAATGCAAGTGGAGGTTAGCAAGCATACTGAGGGGTCCAAGGATAAGACGTTGCGTCCCAATGGATTGCCTGAATCCTTGATTCGATATGATGGTAATCTTTCTACCCCTTTTTATCTCCCTTCAATTATTATTACTTTTCATTCCTTCAACCATACAGAACGCTCACTCAATTTTTACTCTAGTAAAAACTGGAAACGAATTGGGGTATAGTACTACAGTTGTGGTGGGACAACAATATTGTACGTGACATGGAATTGGATTCGCAGTCTCTTGCGATAATGACAATAAACTTTTTAATTTTTCGATTGAAAGGAAGGATATAAAGCCCTAAAGAAAAGGTTTAACGAAGCACAAGTACGGAAGATGACCTGGAATTGGATTCATACTCTTCTCTATGGAGTATTATTGTTCTTATTATTGAAAGGAGGGCTAAAGCCCTAAAGAAAAGAGATGACAAAGCAACACATCCTCTGTTTTAGCTGACATCCATAGACTAGTTATGTAACTTCCTCAAATATTAAAACTAGTTGACTTTGTTGTAGTATAATGAGTGAGCCAATTCTATCTTCTTGTTATATAGCTTGATGATTAATTGAGCTTAATGGCTGCAAAATTACTCCTTTCTCTTTTTTTTTTTTTTTTTTTTTTTTTTTTTTTTTTTAATTAGAACTTTTTACCTCAAATCAAGAAATATGACAGTAGATACTATTTGAGTAGGAATGACAATTTGACCCGTCTCGATAGGATCCCGTGCCACCCCATCCTACCCCATCCCAGTTGGGGTGAGGATGATACGTGAAATATCGCATCGAACGGGGCATGAGGCAGGAATGGTGTGACATTTTCTCCAACCCTACTATGCCCTTTTGCCTTTAGGAATGATAATCTGACAGAGCCTCGCTCCACCCCGCCTCGTTTAGGATAGAAAATGGTATACGAAATATCGCCTCGAATATGACACGGGGTGGAGATGAGGCGACATTTTTTTGGTCATCCCCACCCCCGACCTGCCCATTGCCATCCCTACACCCGACGGTGGAGGAAGAAGGTCCAAAGTATTGGAAGGTATAAAATTTTAGCATTACATCGTACTTCTAAATGCCAATTGTTAATGAGCCGACAACTTTGTTGCATGTGGGCTACTCAACCATTTTTTTCAAATATTTCATGAAAAAGAACAGATTTAGTTAGTTATTATGTGGAGAATAGTTAGTCTGCCGGGCTGCTGCAGCAATTGCAGCAGATTTACTTGTGTTAAAAGGTTCGCTAACAAGCTCCCAAATAAAATGGAAGCTATTTTTTGCCATCTAGAAATCAGAATTAATTGCAAAAAGGAACTACTCTATTTTTTTACTCATATACATAGCTGTAGTGTGACTGATCTAATCTACCTTCAGGCCTGATATCAGTTCAATAACGGCGAACAGAAAAACCGTTTAAGAACATTAGGATGTCTTGTTTTTATGGAATGTTACAACAATTTGTATGTCATTAGCTGTTGAGATTAAGGATGCTAGCAAACATTTCAACTGAGATTTAGATAAGCAGATAATTCATTGTATATATTATTCCCCCTGTTTTTCTTTTATTGGATTAGATAACTCAATTTACATGTCTTACATTTGAGCTACGCCAATATCTTGATTTGCAGCACGTCAAAAAGAGATGGCTACAAGTTCTGTAACAGAACTTGTTCAAGCAGTGAACAGACCTCGTGCACTCAGTGAATCAACAAATCGTCCATTGATGAGAAAATCAGAAGGTGGTGGAGAAGAGGAAAGAAAAGGAGCTGTAGGAAGGCGAAACTCAGAGAATGTGGCTTCAAATAGACGGAATTCTCACGGGGCTACTCGAAACTCAATGCAACGCATCAGTGAGTTGCCGGAAAAGAAACCAAGAAAATCTAGCCGCCTTTCTTTCATGGGGTAGAACTGCTTTTTGATGGCCATTGTAGCTGTAGACACCAGCATGTGTTTTTTTTTCTTCTGTTGGTATCTCTTCCTATTCAATTATTTGACATAGATTATTGTCTGGTGACGATTTGATTTAGACTCATGAGAAAAAGTACTCGTACCAATTCTGAGAGCTTTGATGTTGGAATTACTCTCGATGATGATTTTGAGAGTGATGACGACTATGACGCAAGGCCTGATAGCCTTGATGACAAAGTAAGGAAGAAGGAAATGAGAAAGGGTATGGATCTCGCTACCACACTTGAACGTATAGAGAAAAACTTTGTCATTACTGATCCAAGGCTGCCTGATAATCCCATCGTAAGATTCCTACTTCAACATGATACATCTATTTTGCCTTTTAGTATGTTATTCAATCTGCACAATGAAGTAGGAAATTGAGATGTACAATTTTCCTGACTGTTTAAACTTTTCAGATATTTGCCTCTGATAGCTTTTTAGAGCTTACAGAGTACAGTCGTGAAGAAATCTTGGGAAGAAATTGCAGGTACGATTCTGAATTGATGTACTTCTGAACTAATGTGATTAGTTTGAATCTGACTGAAACCAGTTGATTAATTGCATGACCGTAACCTGAAGTTACTATGACAAGTTGATTTTTGAACTTAAACATCGAGGACTTCATGAATGAGTAACTTGTTCAGTACGGCACTGATTTCAGATAATGTGGTTGTCGGTTGTCCACATAGTAAAACTTTGTTCCCTTTTCTTCCCGTAATAAACTGAAGTTTGTGGAACCAAGCTGAAGTAGCGGAAACTCACAAGAAAAAGATAAAGATGATTGATCTGAAATTCAGATACCGGCCTCTTATAAGCTGTTGAATTAATGCTCAATGCTAATCTTAGACTTCCATCTCCTCTTTGCCTTATGTTCATAGGAGGCATTAAAACTGCCAAGTTGAAACTACATCAGTGCCCTAGATTGGTTTTGAAGAAATTGAAAGACATCTTTTATAGCAAACATTCTTAATGTCTATAAATATAATGAAATTATTGAACCCTATTTCATGCTTCGATTTTGTAGATTCTTGCAAGGGCCTGAAACTGATCCGGCTACTGTGAGGAAAATAAGGAATGCAATTGATAACCAGACAGATGTCACCGTGCAGCTGATTAACTATACCAAGAGTGGTATGCTAACTTTTGCAGTCTAAATTTTCCGTGACACATCAAAATGATAGCTTACTCAAAAGTACGTAGCATTAGATTACTCTTACTTGCTCATGGTAGTATCTAGATGCCTTCAAAGCAAAGTGAAGTATTACTGCTGTAATGGTCTTGCTACTTCCTTTATTTCCATATATTGACATGTTCTATTTAATGAAGTATAAAGCATTTCAAGCTAATCTGGAAAACATTCCTTCTTATGTTCTCTCTTAATATTGTTAATGTAATGCTAATTCTGAAATGAATACTCCTCGTTCTTGTTGACGGCATAAAAAGAAAACCAGAATACTTGTGATTTTCTTCTTTTTTCTTTACTTTTAATTTAATTATGGCCTTCCATACTTGATCCAGGCAAGAAGTTCTGGAACCTGTTCCATCTGCAGCCTATGCGTGACCAAAAGGTACATTACTTACATCTTCAAACCACAAAATTTGATTTTGTAGCTCGTGATTCACTTCCGTATGAAATGAATTCATATAGAAAAGCAAAGTGAAAAGTTCTTCATGAACTTGTATCTTTCTGTGAGCAGGGAGAAGTGCAGTATTTTATTGGAGTACAACTAGATGGCAGTGAGCATGTTGAGCCACGTACCAACAGTATCCCAGAGGCAACTGCGAAAGAGAGTGAACAAGTGGTCTAAATTCTATTCTGTCTCTGTTTAAATCCCTGTAAAGCTAAGATTTTAAACAACACTGCTAATTTACATGTTAATTTACTTCTCTGAAGCTTCAAAGCTTAAGAATGCTAATTTTCGCCCCCCATTTCCTGAAGAGGCGGTGGTTTAACATCGTTATAGTCATTTATTTGATTTACATTATTAACAATGTCTATCTAATGGTATCCATTTTCCTAACGGGCTTGACTGATTTCCACTATCAGGTGAAAAAAACTGCAGAAAATGTTGATGATGCAGTGAGAGAACTTCCGGATGCCAATTCGGTAACTTCCTAAATGGAAAAAAAAAAAAAGAAAGTAATCTCATCTTTAAGTAGGCCTTTTGTGGTTTGATTCTAGCAAAGAGTATTACTATCTGCAGAAACCAGAAGATTTGTGGGCAAATCATTCAAAAGCTGTTTATCCAAAGCCTCACAGAAAGGACAGCCCATCATGGAAAGCAATTGAAAAGGTATTATCCTTAGGATCCTCGAATATGTGTAATAATGACAACAGATAACAACTCATGGTAAAAAATGATTCATGACTGACTTTTATGAATGTGATATACAAATCATTGACATCATTATCTTCTTGCTTCATTGTGTCATGGCTGATTCATTGTGTCTCTAATTGAACCTAGAGTAGAGGAGTTCTATCTATAAATACATCTACGGGCGTGTAAAAGAGCTCTTCTACCCAACTGTATATCCACAGGAATTGTTACTTACTGTCAATGTGTAATTTATCCATGACCTTTGGTGGATTTCCTTCTGAATGTCCAGAATCAGTCAAAAAATCATAATTTAGGATTCTGCAAAATTTCTTGTTGGTCTCTGCAAATTCTTCAACTTGCACGTGCCAATTTATCTCAATTGTTTGCCCACCTATCTTCAGATTCTAGAAAGTGGAGAACAACTAGGCCTGAAGCATTTTAGGCCAGTAAAGCCCTTGGGATCTGGTGACACTGGCAGGTTTGTCTTTCCATCTGTCACTTAATTATACAAAGATGTTGCTGATAATTTGTTTTTTCAAATGGATATTTTAGTTGGTCTCTTTTACCCAATATCAATTTCCTTCCATTTGTTATGGTCACTCTGAAATTAATCTTGAATTTTTTCTTTTTACTTGTCAATTGACATGCAGCGTGCACTTGGTAGAATTGTATGGAACTGGTCAGTTTTTTGCCATGAAAGCTATGGACAAGGGTATTATGCTTAACCGCAACAAGGTAACTAGCTAACTTTGATTCACATTCAGCAATTCATGTTTACGGTTGATACTTTTTTCACTAAAATTAGTTTTATAATTTTGGTTTCCTCAAGCTTTTTTCTATGGCTATAATGTCCCGAGTATTATAGCTCTGCTTATGTAGCTCTTTTGCTATCCAATAAATTACATGCCGCGGTTATTCTCTAATGTCCATTCATATCTGTCTTTTGATGCAGGTGCATAGAGCTTGTGCAGAGAGAGAAATTCTTGAAATGTTGGACCACCCTTTTCTTCCCGCATTGTATGCTTCATTTCAGGTTAGACAATGGGCAGGGGCTGAACTGATAGCTTTTTCTAGAATGCCTAGTCCTTGCAATGGGAACATTAACTTTAATTACGTGTTTGTTATGTGATTGTATTTGCTTTTGAATTTAAGAGTCATTGAGTTGAGTCATATGTAGATTTTTGTTGAAATTCTAATGATGATCTTTCAGACCAAAACACATATCTGTCTGATAACTGATTACTGCCCTGGTGGAGAGCTCTTCCTGCTTTTGGATAGACAACCAAGGAAGGTGCTGAAGGAAGATGCCGTGAGGTAAAATCAAAGAATAGTTTCATGATGGTAAAAAAAAAATTCACTATAAATGAAGCAAGAAACTTGGATATTCATCACTCTTGATTTAGTTCCATAAAATGTTGATTTTATTCCCAAAGGACAGATCATTTTGAAAATATGTTTGACAAAAATTCTTTATGATTTTGTAGGTTTTATGCTTCAGAGGTAGTTGTTGCATTGGAGTATCTTCATTTCCAAGGTAGAGATTTGACTTAATCATCACTATGTAATTATTGTAAGAACTGAGTTGAGTGAATGATGATGTTTGAAGTTCCATATCTGACACTAATCCATGATTGAAATCCATAAGATTGGTCAGTGAGGCTTAGCTTCTCAGTCTCATACAGACTTGAAAGGAATTTGCTAAATATGAATGATGACTCTTGACTTCTATAAGAACATTCTGACGTCCATCCTTTTTTCTTCTCAGTTTTCAAGATGGAGTAAATCCAATTTGAGTGGCGCATAGATTTTTTCATATTTTTTCTGATTTGCTTCTCACTAGATATCCCTTCTTCTCCATAGCTTGCTTGATCAGAAGTTAGATTAAACTATTTCTATCCTGGCTCATGAAGCTTTTTCCTAATACACTTAGAAGACTGATTTTAACTTGGACGACTAGAGAGTCTGGTGATTGCAGTGTCTGCTGCTAGGTGATTTGCAAAGAATTTTGGAGTCGCATCATTTCTGAAACTAAATCTAATAAAACTATAAGGATGTGTGAGGTTATTAAGTTCTTTGCTTAGTTTCATTCTTTCTTAAGGTCTGCTGTTTCTCTTGCAGGGATAATTTACAGGGACTTAAAGCCTGAGAATGTTCTACTTCAGAGCAATGGGCATGTGGCCTTGACAGATTTTGATCTATCATGTTTGACATCCTGCAAACCCCAGGTATCCCATCTGTACTTTTTTCCCTCCTTGATATCCCTTCTTCTATATGCCTCAAAATGTTTATGCTTAGGAATTTTTCTTTTTGGCTGCTTAAGAGTATAACTCAGTACTGATTTTTTCTGTAAGGTAACTCATTACTGACTTAAGGATAATAAATTTGTTATGCTCACTTCAGCTCTTGATTCCAAGAACAAATGAAAAGAAAAGGCATCATAGACATCAGCAGCCTCCAGTCTTTATGGCGGAACCCGTGAGAGCTTCAAATTCTTTTGTTGGCACTGAAGAGTATATAGCTCCGGTTTGTTTTCTTTCTTGAACCTGCTATATATATATATATATATATATATATATATCACCCTCACTGAAACTATATATTCAAGCAGAAATGTGCAGCATTCTTTTCTTTTATTGTTTTTTTTTCAACACCGTGCATTCATATCTTGTCCAACGCCAACAGCTCGAACGTTGAAGTTAATTCGTTTTTCAATCTCTAACTATATAAGCTGCTCAACGACTTCCAGCTTCAAGATTCTCTTACTCCCAATTTGATCTTTCGGTCATGCTGAAAACCAAAACTCTTTTCATGTGAACAGAAGATTTTAGTTTTGAAAGGTTTGAAGGTTGGTCTGGTTGGGATCAATCACTGAATTGTGTAGCAAGCGATTGGTCCTACCAATGGACAGTTTTCCTTCTTTTTTTTTAAGTTTTGTTTTTTTTTAAAAATATTTTGAGGGGGTCAAGTTGTATATAGGTTTTATAACTTCTTTTCATGTGTATGCTATTCTGTTTTACTAAAATTGAATCGCCTTCTGTCATTGCAGGAAATCATAACTGGGACTGGCCATACTAGTGCGGTGGACTGGTGGGCTCTAGGTTATCATCTACAAGTTTGATCGTTGAATTGTCTTGGCGAAATTGTTGTATTTAGGACTATATATATATATATATATATATATATATATATATATATTTCATTTGATTTCTGTTTTTCATCCTAGGAATTCTGCTATACGAAATGCTTTATGGATACACACCATTTAGGGGAAGGACTAGGCAAAAGACATTCGCCAATATTCTAAACAAGGATCTCAAATTTCCGGGAAGAATACCGGTGAGATCATTTGTTAAGTGTGTGTGCATGTGTGTACAGTGGACACAAGTATTTACGACAATCAGAATAACATGGGATTGTTAACTTTGTGATGGAGCAGGTTAGCCTCAATGCGAAGCAGCTAATGTACCGTTTGTTGCATAGGGACCCCAGAAACAGGTTGGGTTCGCGAGAAGGAGCGAATGATATTAAACGGCATCCATTCTTCAAGGGTGTGAATTGGGCACTAATTCGCTGCATGGTAAGATAATAAACGTATCTTTGTATTGCTATAAATCCTAGATTAGTAGAGTTTAAGTACTGACAAGAATTTATGGATGCCCAGAATCCTCCAGAACTTGAGGCACCATTTTTTGAGTCTGAAGAAGAAAAGAAAGCCAAACTTGTGGATCCTGAAATGCAGGATCTACAGACAAATATCTTCTGAAGAGGTGCTAATTCTGTAATACACATGTTTCCTGCTGGATCGTAGTAGTCTTATAATGTCCCTTCTTCTAATCAACTTCTTACTTTTTTTTCCAGCTGAGTTGAGAAGTATTTTTAATGCATTGCGTTCAGGAGAAGAAGATGGTTGGCCATGAAGATATGATTTGATTGTTATTTTGTTTGCTTAATTATTAAGGTTGTTGATATGGTCTTGTGTAATGATGCGTGTGCTACTCTACTGTTGGAACATTCTACAGTCTTCGTTGGTTCATATGTACTCCATGATGTTTTGTCTTTGAATATGTTTATTTAATTAATATCTCTCTTCTAGTTAATTAGAAAATTAGTACTCGAGTATTGAGACATTTTTTCCATCCAAGTACTTGTAATCTTTTTAATTATTTATTTATCAATCTAAGTATTTCTGTTATTTCTTTATTAAAAATTGCCAATGTGTGTTAAATATATATGTTACATTCAAAAGTGGGTTTTTATGTTAGACATCTCGTTTATATTCTAATTTCATAATTATAGAGATAATGGCCAAATTGATATCTGTATTTATTATTTTTTCAATATGAATGCTAGGTTGATTTCTTCTATTAGAGTGTTTGTATCCATTTTTTTTTCTTTTTGTTGAAAGTTTTGTAGTACTATTTATTACCGTTATTATTTGAGTGATTTTACCTATTTTGCTTTTGTATTAAAAGATTTGTAGTGCTTTTTTTTTTTTTAATAAAAAATGACAAAACATTAGTTTTAAGATACAATTTAATTATTCTATTTCAAATTCTACGAATTTTTTTTTAAAAAAAACCCTCAAATCTTCTTTGTTTCAAAAATCCTAAAAAGATCAATCTCTCTTTCTCTTATCACTTTCTTAAAAAAATAAAATAAAATAAAATAAATTTCTCGTCATTCATATATCCCATTTTTGAAGCATCAATATTCTACAAAAAGTAGAGAACATTGTTGATGAAGAAAACGGTTAGTTTATTGTAGTTTTCCGAGATATGAAGTCCCGATTTGTTATTATATGTAAATGATAGTCAAGGATGTAATGACTCTATTTTATCTCATTAAAAATACTAAAAAAAAAAAGATAGAAATAAAAAGGGAAAAAAATACAAAAAAGAAAAAGAATTAGGTCTAGGATAGGACGGACAAGTGCTAAGTATTAGGTTAGATTGTTTAAGTTTGAATAATAATAAATATTAGAATAGGAAAAACTCTAGACCAATTCTAAATACATTATATAAATATCTTAAATACATACAAAAAAGTGGGGAACACACATTGCCACCTAGAAAGAAAAAACCTAGTAGCGAAAAAAAGAAGCCAAATAGAAGCCAAGAAGAAACCACCATTGCTCTCCACTCGTCGACTTTTCAACAACACATGTAGGCAAAAAATAATCTTCTAGCCAAGATGATTCCAACACCGCAAGAAGCAACCAATTATGACCACTATAGAGCTCACGTGAGACACTTAAAGTTTTAGCATCCTTGTTACTACTATTAGTGTAGGTGCCAAGATCCAACCACATTTGAATGAACATAAATTATTGTATTATTACATCATTTATTTTAAAAATAATAAAAAATATTTTTCTATTAATTCTTATGCTTTTATGTTTATTAATTCGAGTGGAATTAGATAGAAGTCCTTATGATATGTATTTGCAATAGTGATTGATCGAAAGATGTGAGACAAACACTACTCGCATATAAATGATATCATTACACGCCCGAAGTCATAAGCATTGTCAAGAATGGATGTTGACTATATATAGATAGACTTGTGAGTGCTATGCTCATATTATATGATAGCAGTAGGAGATCTCACACTTATTGACATAGTGATATCAAAGCAAACACTTATGTGATTTATGTTAGAGAACATATCACCGGATTAGACTCATTATTAGAACCTATTTAGTTTAGCCTATGTAAATCTCATATAAGATGGGTACAATCGGTCCTTAGACTTGAAGTCATCACGGTTATCTCATTAGAGAATTTATGCACTTTGACACTCGTTTCAATGGACCTAGTAAAGGGTTGCATGTGGGCAATTCGTTGGGTGCACTAAAAATCTAATAGAGGTATAAGATAAGACATGTCATTCCTTGTATGCTAAAGGAGTTATCACATTGCACTTCGATGAATTTTTGCTCAAGAAATCTGTGACCGTAGTAGGAGTACACTAATAAAGTACAATTGGTTTACTTTAAGAGCTAAGACATTTAAGAATCAAAGAAAACTTGTGTAATCATAATCGAACTAGACTTATAACTAAGTTCGAGATCACACTCGTGATAAGTTAATACGAGGACCGAATTGTATGATAACCATGCTCATGAAAGGTAATAATGGATTAATTAATCCTCCTAGAGAATTTGGTAGTCATAATGCCTTGCTAAAGACTAATCTTGATTTATGTATCAAGAGATAAAAGAAGAGTCTTTTATTCTTGATATATTGTCAACATATTTAGGAGCTTATTGAGTCACACGCATAAGTTTAAGTATTCACACGATTAAAGAGAAGCAAAGATAGTGGAAAAATTTTCCAAAATGGAAAGTTTCCTAAAATGGAAAGTTTCCTTAAATGGAAGTTTCCTATTTTAGAAATCAATTTTCTAATTTGGAAGTAATTAACCTAAAATGAGAATGAGTTTAAGGGTATTTTGAAAAATTATTTCATGATATGAGTCACATAAAATTATTTAAGATTATTTATTTAGATAATCCACATAAATTAATTAGACTAGAATGGTTTTGGCCCAATAGGTTTAATTAAAAGCCTTAAGATATTTTTATGAGAGGATAAACATTACCCTTATTAGATAAGGATGAATGTTTTAAAGATAAAGATCAAAAACTCATATGTAAAATAACTCCTAATCCTCGAAGGATTAGGAAGCAACAATCATAAGTCCAATTAGAACTTATTTGTTACCCCTCTCCTTGTCCTTAGAGGACAAGGACACTCTCTCCCTATAAATAGGAGGGGAGGTGCGACATAAAGAAAGAGTTTTTAGAGAGAGAAAATTCGACACACTAAGAAAATTGAAAAGGACACATAGCTAAAATAAAATAAGGAGAATTATTTTTTCCCTAATCATAGCAAGCCACCTCTTTTCTCTTCTTTTTGGATTGTCGCAAACTTGTCAAAATTAGATTTCTATAGGAAACGCTACCCAAATCAGAAAAAAGGTGGAGCTAGCATTATATCAATTTTGAGTACTTTTTTGTAAGTGCTTGGACTCGGGTGGATCATCAATAGAGGTCAAACACTTGAACAACTTTTCCGTTAAAAAATTTAGATCTACGCTACAAGAAGTAATTTTGTATTCATTACTTTAATTCATGTATATAAAGTTAATTGATTTAATGACATGATCTTATGCCTTTTAGATAGAAGAAAATTTTAGTTTATTCCGTATCTCCATAAGATACATGCATGCTAGGGCTAAGCATTGTGTGCTAGGCCGTACGCGAAGAGTGTAGGCTAGGCACCGCATGCCGGCCCGTGCGTGAGTAAGTGCTCGGCTCGTAGGCTAAGCGTTCATGCGTAAAGCATGCTAGGCTCGCAAGCCGTGTACAAGTTTACCGGGACATAGATAAGGCATGCAAGGCCACCGGTTAGGCACTCATGCGCTAAGGCGTTAGCCATGGTAGGCACGCTAAAGCATGCCAAGCCGAGGGCTTGGGTGTTAAAGTCCTTGGGCCCTCGAGGCACAAAAGCTCATGGGCCCAAAGAAATTTTGAAAAATTTATAAAATGACCCAAAACATAGATTTATAATTATTTTATGAATGAAATATGTTTCATTAATATGCCATGTACCAATATGATTAAAGTATGGGTGAATGGTATGGATGAGTCGACCTAGTTTTATGAAATGAATGTTTATTTTTAGATAAGGAGGACTTACGTATTCTACTATCTTTTACACTCTATTGTATTTCTCTTCTCATCTTACTCCCCTAAAATGTAACTCAAGATTTTTTTATTTAAATAAATATAAAAGTAGAAGATAGAAATTATAATAGATGCAAGAAGAGCATAGCAAGGAATGAAGACATTCTTGAAGAATTTGTAATAATTTTCACATAGGAATTCGACCCATTAGTCTCCTTATGGCTCGGGAGGCTAGTATTAGAGATCAATTATCATTCACCGGTCCTTATGCAATCAATATTAGTATGTATGTTAGGAATATTTTGATTATTGATTAGTATGCATGCTAGGATGAAACCAACCAAATTAAATCCTTAAAGTAAAATATTAAGTTAATTGCCTTCCAACGTTATATGAAAGGAACTCTCTTGGTCATTGTTGACTTTTTGAGATAACGCAAGATCACTTTTTCCTCGAAGAAAACAAATCATGGGCTATATAATGTTCTCGAACGTTGGGTCTAACTTAAATGAGTTATTGGATTTGTTGAGATAACTTAAGATCCAATAAACTTGTAGGCAAGGATTGGTATTCACATAAGATGTGATAAGACAAGTAGTTGTCATGCCAATGAGATTAGGAATTATATTAGATGTAACCGGTAAGGAGTTACCTATCTAATCCTTCATGTATGGCTTATTGAGATAACTCAAGGTTAATGCATGCTAGAGGATGGGATCTTAACTCGCTAAGAAAAAAAAATTAAAAGGAATTCTTAAGTCTTATATTGAAGGTTATGGAACTTGAAGAAAATAGTGAGAGAGAACATAGATTTTACTTCTTTGATTTATGCTTTGTTTTATTTTATGTAATTTAATTAACTAAATCGAATATTTTTCTATCCTATCAGATTATACGAGTATGACTAGTAACACATTGATACAATCGATAATTGACGAAAGTAATGCCTTCAATGGCATAAACTTCCTCGACTCGGAAAACTTATTTGAGGATAGTCCTCCAACGTGAGAAAATTATTCATACAATAGAGAAAGCTCTCCTAGCCGAGCCTCCTCAAGATCAAGCTAAAGCTCAAA